CTTGTATGATTATAAGTCATCAATGAATGTTGTTTGAATCAATTACTTAAACATTAGTAATTTTATATGATTTATTGATGAATTTAGATTGAGAATTAGCCTATTTTTATATTTAGTATTATGATAATTATTGTAAATTAATTATTGAGATATAGTGTATGTATGTTATGAAACATGATAAGTAGAAAATTATTGTGGAGTGTTTTTGTTAAGATGGATTAACATGTAGAATTGCATTGTATAATTTGGTGGAATGGAGGAAAGATGTGAGAAAGGAAAATAATTTTTAAGATATATGAAATTTAATTATGAAGTGAATTTTTATATTTTTATTTAATTAATAAATATTTTTCAAAAATATTGGAACAATTTTGATTTAGGAGAAAATAATTAATTGTAAGTGAAAATGAATTTTTAATAATTTTGAAGAAATTATTTGCAATTATTATTATTATTTAAGAAAAATAAATTAAAATTGAGAAAATTATGCTTTTGAGTGATGATGAGTATGATGAGGTGGAAGCATAATTTTGTGAAAAGTAGAAGCGTCCTAGACTGTTTCTGATTATTTTGTAAGTGTTAAAAGTTTTGGGAATGTCAGATTTACAAATGAGACTCTGTCAATTTTTTTTTTAAATAGCCTAGTATTATTTTGAAAAAGTTAAGATGTGATTTAAGTATAATGAGGTGAAACAAAGTTGAAAGAATGTGAATAAGTTATGATAAGTCATGCATCATGTTCATGAGTCAGAGATTGAGTGTATGGGGAGGATATGAAAAAATAGGATCAGTTCCTTATTAACCTCGGGGATGATTGAGTGTGATCGAGCTCATATGTGACTTAGACTCGCTACCTAAGCTGTGAGACTCTCACTACCAAGCTTGATTATCCTGACTAAAGCCCTAGGGTTTCTTATGATCAGTTCAGTTGGACAAATAATTATGAGTATAATATTGTGAGGCGGTGAGAGGTTCTACTGAAACTCTTGATCCTTCTCGGAAAAAAAAATTGAAATTAAGAAAAAAAAAAAGAGAGAAAAGAGAAAATGGTTTTGAGATCCCTATGTCTTGCATACTAGGATGTGTCCTAGAAAAGATTAATGGATACATTGCATTCATAATATCATATCATTTGTGTGTTGATTGTTAATATGTTTGTATGTGTAATTTTTAATTAACTTAATGTTATTTGCATGCTCTAAGTGAATATATAGTTGTCTTACCTTTTCTGTGCATGTATTGTTGTTATAAAATATTTATACAGGTGACGTTGAACACAACTCATCCCCGGTACCATCTCCAAGTAGAGTTTAAATATGATCGCTACAAGTACTAGGTAGAAGACTTGATCAGACACCACTACAGTGCTATAAAAGATATTTCATTTTAGTGGACGTACGAAATATATCTCCTTTTTTGTTAGATTGTATAGTTAGTGTTTTATCTATCCTGGTCTTGTGAACCCTTATTAGGTGTATTTTGGGATGATTTGGTGTAAATTTATTATATGGTTATACTTGATACTTATGAATGATATGTATATTAATCACTAAATGTATGTTCTATTTATTGTGTACCTTACTTCTACGAGTGTGTATTGGTAATCAAATACTAAGAAGAACCAATAATAAGTAATATAAATAATAATAAACTGAATGTTGGTAGTAAATGTGTCACAAAACTCAAGTTCACTGAACTCATCAAGCTTAAGCTTAAGCTCAACCACATTAAGTTCAAACTCAAATTTATCAAACTCAAGCTTAAGTTAAAAAGGTCAAGATCAAGATTAAAAGAAAGATTAAGATTAATATTAAGAAATAGATAACAAGAACAAGATCGAGGTCAAGATGAAGAACAAGATCAAGATCAAGATCAAGATCAAGATCAAGATTAAGATTAATATAAAGATCAAGATCAAGATTAAGATTAATATAAAGATCAAGATCAAGATTACGATCAATATAAAGATCAAGATGAAAAACAAGATCAAGATCAAAATCAAAATGAAAAACAAGATTAAAAACAAGAACAAGATCAAGAATAAGAAAAACAGATAAAAAACAATGGATACATTGCATTCATAATATCATATCATTTGTGTGTTGATTGTTAATATGTTTGTATGTGTAATTTTTAATTAACTTAATGTTATTTGCATGCTCTAAGTGAATATATAGTTGTCTTACCTTTTCTGTGCATGTATTGTTGTTATGAAATATTTATACAGGTGACGTTGAACACAACTCATCCCCGGTACCATCTCCAAGTAGAGTTTAAATATGATCGCTACAAGTACTAGGTAGAAGACTTGATCAGACACCACTACAGTGCTATAAAAGATATTTCATTTTAGTGGACGTACGAAATATATCTCCTTTTTTGTTAGATTGTATAGTTAGTGTTTTATCTATCCTGGTCTTGTGAACCCTTATTAGGTGTATTTTGGGATGATTTGGTGTAAATTTATTATATGGTTATACTTGATACTTATGAATGATATGTATATTAATCACTAAGTGTATGTTCTATTTATTGTGTACCTTACTTCTACGAGTGTGTATTGGTAATCAAATACTAAGAAGAACCAATAATAAGTAATAAATAATAATAAACTGAATGTTGGTAGTAAATGTGTCACAAAACTCAAGTTCACTGAACTCATCAAGCTTAAGCTTAAGCTCAACCACATTAAGTTCAAACTCAAATTTATCAAACTCAAGCTTAAGTTAAAAAGGTCAAGATCAAGATTAAAAGAAAGATTAAGATTAATATTAAGAAATAGATAACAAGAACAAGATCGAGGTCAAGATGAAGAACAAGATCAAGATCAAGATCAAGATCAAGATCAAGATTAAGATTAATATAAAGATCAAGATCAAGATTAAGATTAATATAAAGATCAAGATCAAGATTACGATCAATATAAAGATCAAGATGAAAAACAAGATCAAGATCAAAATCAAAATGAAAAACAAGATTAAAAACAAGAACAAGATCAAGAATAAGAAAAAAAGATAAAAAACAAGAACAAGATAAAGATAAAAGATAATATCAGGATCGAGAACAAGAATACGATCAATGTTAAGAATAAGGTCAAGAATAAAAACAGGAACATGAATAAGAACAAAGTCAAGGTCGAACTCAAGTTAAACCTTAAGTTGATTAAGCTGAAGTTCATCAAGTTGAAATTCATCAACCTGAAGCTCATCAAGCTCAAGCCCCATTAAATTTAAGCTCAAGTTCATTAAATTCAAATTCAAGCTTAAAATATAGATCAAAATCAAGATCAAGATGAAAAACAAGCTAAAGATAAAAAATAAGATTGAGGTTAGGATGAAGAGCAAGGTAAACAATAAGAGCAATATCAAGATACAAAATAAAATCAAGATCAAGATGAAAAAAGATAAAAAATAAAAATAAAATTAAGAACACAAACAAGATCAAGAACGAGAATATAAGATCAAGCAAAAGAATAAGTTCAAGATCAAGAAAAAATATTAAAATCAAGATCAAGATCTAAATAGAAAACAAGAATAAGATCAAGAGAAAAAACAAGATTAAAAATAAAAATAAGATCAAGAAAAGAAAATATCAAATCAAAATAAAAAATAAGAATAAGATCAAGCTTAAACTTGATATTGAGTTTAAAACTCAAGTCAAACTCAAGTTTAAAATTAAGCTCTTCAACGTCAAGTTTAAGTGCAAACTTAAACTTATCAAGTTTGAGCTTATTGAGCTCAAACTATAACTCAAGCTCGTTAAGGTCAAGATCATTAAGTTTAAACTCATCAAACTTTAAGTTCAAATTCAACCTCAAACTCAAGCTCAAGATCAAGAAGAAGATAAAAAACAAAAAGAAGAGCAAGATCATAATAAAAAACAAATTCAAGAAACAAGATATAAAACCAAAATCAAGAGCAAGATTAACAAACTATGTTTCAATAATATACTTTTAAATTTGAATTCAATGAAATCAATTTTTTTCTCCATATTCTTTATCTATTTTATCTCTAAAATAATCAATTAATTTATTGTTATAATTATTTATAATTACGCTAATTATAAATATCAATACTTATTATAAACATTTTTTAAATTTAACAATTGATAATTTATTGACAATTAGCAATTCAATTTTAATTATATATGAACAAGATTATAAATTATTTAGCCTATCACATTTTAAATTACAATTTATCTACTAAAATTTATTAATTAAATTAATTATTTATATTTTCTTAAATTTAAACTTTATGGTAAATTAATTTAAAAATTAAATAATAATTTAATCTTCGAACAATAACTAATTATTTTAATATTTTATTTATTAATTAAAAATTTAATGTTATTTATTTTAATTATAATTAAATAGTATTATTTTGAAAATATTCGAGGTTGCCTATTCTAATTTTTAAGAGTTAATTAAATTTATTTAAATAAAATTCAAAATCAATAGGTTTCTCACAGATATTATAAATTTTTTTTATACACATTTTAAAATGATTTCAATATTGAAATTTAAAACACATGGATTAAAATAATAAAACCAATTTTTTAAAACAAAATTAAAAATAGCAGAACTTATTTTATAATTAGGAAAATACATTTAATTGGGCCTGATTTCTAAACATAATAAAGACATTACAAAAACATGTTTCGAAATTGGATCTCACTAACCATTTATCGAAGCGAATAATAAAAATATATTTTTTATAAATAAAGATGTTCATAGAGTTAGGGGTATTTTTTTTATTATTAGAAAAAAAAAAGAGAGAGTCGAAAATAGGTGCTACCTGAATATATTAAGAAGCCACCTGTTGCAGTTTTGCAGTCTCTTGTTGAGGATAAGATGCCAGTGGGTGGTGGGGGGTTTTTGTTTAGCTGCTTGAAATTGTGTCAATCGGTTGGGTTCGTGGTGTTGCGTTGTATTTGTGAAATTTCTGAACCCAGTTGGTTCACGCTGAACTGAAGCTTGTTAATAATCCCTTTCCTCGTGGGCAATGCTTCTCAGCAATTCCAATCAGCCAGGTTAATTAGATAGTTTTTCTTTGTCCTATATGCACCTCATATATAATTTCTTTATTCAAAGAGTTATCATTTTCAATGGTTTCAGGAATCACTATGAATGTAACTATGTCAGTTCCTAATGCTAAGGGAATAATTACTGCAGCTCCAAGAGATTCTCTTTTGCTCAAGCCCAACCGTTTATCTTCTCTTAGTTCACTCCATTCTCTCCAGGTATATGTCCTCTTAGGCTTTATTTAGTTCCCTTATTTTTCTGTTTTGTATATAAAAGAAAAAAAATGTATTATAGAGGTTTGGCTTATTTGTGTAAGAGGGCAAATTTTCTTTGTCCAGCATTTTGCCCAATGTAAACTGGTTCAACTTTTGATCTCGTTTCTCCTTTCTCCTTAAATAATTGCTTCATTTGGTTAATGAATCTTCCTGTTGAATTGGTACTATAACAAGACAACCATTTATGGCCTTTGGGAAAGTTTTAATTTATGCATCAAACTCAGGCGTGAAAATAAAATTCTTGTCATTTTGTACTCTAGTGTTCAGTTTTAACAGTTGAATTTCCTATATACATGTGTGTGTTGTGTGTGTGTGTATGTGTACATATACATATATACTTTAAGATTATTGTTATTGTGTTATCATTGTTATTTCTTTCTGATTTTTTTTAAGCAGTGTGGTAGCAGTAATATTAGAGTTCCTGTGACGATTAGAATTAGACCAGAGAAGTTTTGGCAAGTGCTTACTGTCAGGAATGAAGTGCCGCAAAATGCTGACTTTCCTCGGCAGTATTCGAGAAAAGAGAAGAAACCTTTTCCAGTCCCCATTGTAGAACTGCGACGAGCAGCTAGGGAGAGGATGAAGAATATGAAAGATGAGCCTAGAAAATCGATGTCAGCACCTAAGAATGGGTTGCTGGTGAAGAGCCTTATACCGACTGCCTATAATGTGTATAATGCTAGGATCACTTTGATTAACAATCTGAAGAAGCTGCTCAAAGTAGTTCCTGTGCATGCTTGTGGGTAATAATATGTCTTCATACTTTTGGTTAATGTTGAGCTTATTGAAATGCTGGTTAACAACATAGAAGTTACATATTTTTTGTTCTGATCGAGTAAATGTGCTAATACAGAGAGATATTGTTGCTTCTGGCCTTCGAAGATATTCCAGCATTGACACTTTCTTTAAGATGATGCATATATCATTGTAAAATTAATATGTTGCTTCGCATTCCTGCTTTTAATTGTGGTGTTGTTAGTGTATCTAGAACCTAAATCAGAGATTACCAATACCTGCTATAATTTTCCATCTGGTGGGTGATTGATAGTTATTATACCCTTATGGTGTGGTTCATAGGAAGACTACTAGTTCCACTTGCTGCCCTTTTTAGTCCTACCAATCTTGTCCGTTCATAGATGCTGACTCATAGTCACTACATAGGTCGTTTGTAAAGCTTTCTTTATGTTAGCCAATATTAAAGTTTGATTTTGTTAATGATATATCCTTCAAATACTTTATAAATCAAGTATTAAATGAAAATGTGAGTGCATTCAATATCTTGGAATCATAAAATGCACTCAATCCTTTTTTCATTTTGCAAGTAGAAGGATTTGTTGGAAGGTTGTAAAGGGATTTAGAATTATTCTTTCTGTTGTATTATGAGCCCAAAGAATCCATTGATGTGCATTTTCAACTAGGCATATAAAAACTATTTAGCAGCAATTCTAGCATATTTTGAGCTAGTCTTTTAGAACGTGGTAACCTAATTTGAGTGATTTTTTTAACCAGCATATTTTAAGGTACATGACAAAAGATTACATCCATCTCATTTACCCCCCCTCTATATTGATTTTACAAATACAGAGTGTCTGTCGCCATTCCAATGTGTCTATTGCCAATTTGTTACTCTTGTTTAATTAATTTTATAAAAAAGTTAAGTATTAGTTTGATCAATAATTTAATAAAGAAAAATGTCCTCTCTCTCTCTCTCTCTCTCTCTCTCTCTCTCTATATATATATATATATATATATATATATATATATATATATATATATATATATTTGAGTAAGAGTCGTAACTGGCAATCGATTCTTCCTTTGCTAGCAAATGTAATTTAATGTCTCCTACTGAAAAGAAGAAGAAAGAAGGGATCAAATATTGTGAAGTGTCTTAATATTGGAAAACTATGCAGGTGGTGCAGTGAAATCCATGTAGGACCTGTTGGACATCCATTCAAGTCATGTAAAGGCGCACAGGCCAACGTCCGCAAAGGGCTCCACGGATGGACAAATGCATACGTAGAAGACATATTAATACCAATTGAAGCCTATCACCTCTTTGATCGCCTTGGAAAGCGGATTGGTCATGAAGAGAGGTTCCAAATCCCTCGAATTCCAGCCGTGGTTGAGCTCTGCATTCAAGCTGGTGTTGAAATTCCAGAGTTTCCCACAAAAAGGAGAAGAAAGCCTATCATCCGTATTGGGAGGAAGGAATTCATCGATGCTGATGAAAGTGATCTTCCCGATGAAGACCCAGAAGGCCCTTTAAAACCATTACTAGCTGAAATACCAGACTCAGAAACAGTTGCTCCATTGGAAAATGAAGTAGTCCCTCTTGCCGAACAAACACTCCAAGCATGGGAACGGATGAGGAAAGGTGCAAAGAAACTGATGAGGATGTACAATGTAAGGGTCTGTGGATATTGCCCAGAAGTTCATGTGGGTGCCAAGGGTCACAAAGCTCAAAACTGTGGAGCCCATAAACACCAACAACGCAATGGGCAGCATGGTTGGCAGTCTGCGGTTCTGGATGATTTGATCCCACCTAGATTTGTGTGGCATGTTCCTGATATAAACGTGCCTCTAGATCGAGAGCTTAGGAATTTTTATGGGCAGGCACCTGCTGTAGTGGAAATGTGCATTCAGGCTGGTGCTGCCTTACCGGAACAATATAAATCGACCATGCGGCTGGATGTGGGGATCCCAACAACTTTAAAAGAAGCTGACATGGTTGTTTGAGAAGAAATGCTCTTATAGACAAGCCCCAAACTTTTGAACATAGTGTAAATTGTAACAAACTGAATGCAATGTAATTTATTTAAGACCTGGAATGGCATCATCATCGTTAGTTTTTTTTCTGGGGTTATATTTGCCATTTAGACAAACCTTGACATTTTCTATACTTTGCATACAGCCAGAAGATATAAGAAATTGTTAGTGTAAATCTAGCATAAAATCTTATTCAAGCTATGCAATCACCACTTAAATGGACATTTTTGTAAAGGTGTGCACAAATTTAAATGTTCAAATCTAATCCACAATTATCTATGGTTAAATATTTATTTCTAATTTTTTTAATTTTGCCCCACTATATTATTTTAAATATTAATTTGGTTTTACCTTTTATTTTTAAAAGTTAATTAATATGATTTTTTTCTTATTAACTGATGTCTAATAAAAATTGTTATGTGATGTTGAGAAGATAATATATGACATTAAGAGATTTATATATTATGATATTGAGATATTTATATTTTGTGACATTTTTTTTTAATATGATTCACATCTCAACATACATGTATGACATGACACATATTCTTCACATTATTATTATTATATTAATATTATGTGACATTTTTGTTTAGACAATTTAATACAGTTAACGAAAGAAATCACATTGATTATTTTGAAGAAAAATGGGACAAGAAAAAAAGTCAATAAATAGTGATTTTTTTTTAATTCAATATAGTTTAAATACTTTTATATTCTGAGTAACTTTTGACTATTAGTCACACTATGTTTCTTATTATGTTATCTTGCTGGTCTAGTTTGTTTATGCAAACACATTTGTGTTGTACATAATATAAAGGGCATTTGTTTAAACACATTTTTTTTTTAGTTTTTAATATAAAGGACAACCGAAAGTAGGATTCTGTTTTTAATGATTGACCTAATATAATTTTTGTTTTGTAAATAATATTTTGCAAAATTTATAAAAGGTATTGAAAAACTCCTCTTTGTGAGAAAAGAATTTTTCTATATCCATGCAGTATAATCGTCTATAGTGACTAAATCATTATCATCTTGAATAATATATTGGTTTAGGTGCCGACATAGACTTGGGTCCTTTTATTGTTAGCCTTTATTGGTTGTCTTATAAGAAGCAAACGAGGGATTAGGAACAACATTACCCATTGAAACAAAAACAAATTTGTTAGTATTTTTGACCAATCTTATAATTAGGGTTTAAAAGCCTTAATCAAAAGATTTAGTCTTCTATCACCCTGAGATGAATCAATTATGGATAAACTATTGTTTTCTAAACTCAACTTTTCAATTTCAACATCCAACTCACTAGATTTTTCAAATTGATTCTACAAAGTTTGTATTTTATTCAAAGCATTTTTCAAATTTTTGTTAGCAACCTTGTATCCTTTTAAGAGAAACTCAAAATTAGATAGGAGTTCATAAAATGCTTCGTACATAGAAAATTAACCTATCAACGTACTTGTCTGATGAGCACTCTTTTAGAGTGTCTACCATCATGCATATGCTAGCTTTTTTTTTCTCTAATTGTAGGTCTTCCGATGGAAACATAGCAACCTTGGTGAAACTCTAGTATGTTATACTAAGATTGTCCCACATCTTTTTAGCTCCTTTTAGTAAATGTTCCTTGAATAAAGCATATGTCAATGAGTTCCTAGGCTTTTATACTAAAACTATGAATATATTATTTATCTATTGTAAGACTTGAGATAGTGTTATTGTCAAGTCTAATAGACACCCATGTTTTTTAAATCACTTGCCACATACAAACAATACACATATATAAAGGAAAAAAAAAAAAATACAAAATCACGGGACCAACCAAACTCATGAAAAAAATCACCTAAACCTATACTTAAGGAGACCATATCATTTTCTTATTGAGAAAATTATGGTAGAGTCATACCTTACAGACTCAAGTCTATCTAAAAGACCCTAATTAACTTACCTATTCACTCAAAGATTCTTCTCCTTACGAAAAAATGAGTAATAAAAAATTGAATACTAACACATTTTCCTAAATATGAAATTAATCTACCTCTAATTTGCACGAAACAATGGAGCTTTTAACATCGGTTCTAGAACCGATGTAGATACGACCGATGTAAAAAGTGTGACTTTCCACATCGGTTGTAAGGAACCGATGTAGAAAGTCTAATATTTTTATTTATTTATATATTTTAATTTATTTTATTTATTCATAACCCTCTCTAATTACCCTATCTATCTCCTCTACCATCCTCTCCCTTTTATATTCTATTTTTATTATTTATATTTTTTAGGAATTTGAATTACTATCAGATTAAGAGAATTGTCACTAGCAAGATTCGAACCCAGTACCTTAGAGTCGGAGGTCGATACTCCAACCACTAAGCTACCAGGATTTTTCGATAATAACTTATACATAAATTATATTTATGTACAAATAAAAATGTATATCCATGTAAATATATAAATATAAAATATATAAATATAAATACAAATACAAATATATTTATATATTTATATGTTGGATGTGAGGACGCGCTTGAGGATGAAAGTGTGTGTCGAGTGAATTTTCAAAATTTGATATCAAATTTGTGAGCGAGTCTCTTTATATGGATTATAACTTAATGACAAAATATAATCTTTATAATTTATTTATATAATGATATAAAATAATTTTTTTCTTTATTTTATATCATTATATAAATTAATTATAAAGATTATATTCTATATTATTATAAATAAATTATAAAGATTATATTCTATCATTAAATTACAAATTCATATAAAGATACTTGCTCACAAATTTGACATCAAATTTTGAAAATCCACTTGACACACACTTTCACTCTCGAGCGCGCTCTCACATCCAACATATAAATATATAAATATATTTGTATTTGTATTTGTATTTATATATTTTATATTTATATATTTACATGGATATACATTTTTATTTGTATATAAATATAATTTATGTATAAGTTATTATCAGAAAATTCTGGTAGTTTAGTGGTTGGAGTATCGATCTCGACTCTAAGGTATTGGGTTCGAATCTTGTCAGTGACAATTCTCTTAATTTTATAAAGGACTTTCTACATTGGTTCATCTGGGAACCGATGTAAAAAGTGTTTTCTACATCGGTTCATCTGGGAACCGATGTTGAAAGTCTTGAATTCACTTTCTACATCGGTTCTTAAAGAACCGATGTAGAAAGGCCGATGTTAAAAGTGATTTCTGTACTAGTGGAAACATTTTGATAAGCAACCACCATAATTTGTGTGTCACATTCAAGCCATAATTTAGACCAACCATAAGCAAACATTTGCTTAATAGCAATCATAACTAAATTTAGTACATTTTTTTTTAGTAACTACTATTTTAAAGAGTTTCTAAAATACACCTAATGTGATCTGAATGTTATTTTATAATTAAACTCTAAAAAAGTATATCACCAAAATTTACTACAAACTTTTCTACGAAACAATGACAAATCTTGAAATATCATATACATGTAACTTATAAAACTTTAGTGGAATAATGTGTAACACCTCAAAATTTATTATGTAAATTTTTTTAAATACAATATATAAAATTATAATATTTTGGGTAATTTAAATGTTTTTATAATAAAAAACAAAAAAAAATATTATTATTTTTAAACTATTATACAAAAAATTATTTATTAAAATAATTATCATAGTTAAAAAAAATTATTAGAATAAAATTAGTTAATTAATTATTGATTATTAAAAGAAAAAAAATAAAACTAAACGAGAGCTTATCTCTTTAAGAGAGAAATAAAGAAAGAAAAAGAAAGGTAAGAGGAAGAAAAGGAGAGAGAAAAGAGAGAAGGAGAGAAAGAAACAATTTTGTTAAAATTTTGGATATAATTTGTAATTAGACATGATAACAGCGCGAGTTTTGTCTCCTCGATCCCCGCCTCCGACTTTTTTAACCGTCTCCGTTCCCATCTTCGATTTTCGTTAGGGTTAAAAATTAAATATTCATCCTCTCGGCTGGGTTTCGGGTTTCTCCGCCTCCGTCCCGTCCTCGATCTATATTATTTTTAAAAAGATAATTACATTTATAATAAATTAATTTTACTATGTATTTTTTATATATAAATAAATATTTATAATTTTATAATTTGTAATTATTATTAATTAAATATATATATATATTTTAATTTATTATATTTATATTAAAATATGTATGTAAAAGAAATAGTTAATTATTTTTATTTATATATATATAGAATATTTATAATAATAATAATAATATTATTATTATTATAACACTGTATTCAAACATTTGATTATATATATAAATTAATTTATTTTTAAGTTGTCATTTAAAAATATGAAATATATAATTTATAAAGAAATATTTAATAATTTAATTCTTATTTAATTAGTTTGAAGTAATAAAAGTTTAAATTATCAATTTTTTTTAATCTTTTAAAATATAATTATTTTATTAAGATAAAATTTGATATATGACAAATAAGAATAATAAAATCTAAAAAATATGACATAATAAAACCTAATTAATATAAATTATAAATAAAATAATATTAGTTACTACTAAGATTTATGTAAAATATTTAGAAAAAGATAAAGAAGAAAAAAAATAACTTTGTGTTCATCAAATTGGTTGAAAATATTGAAAAAAAAATTTGATTGGAGAGATTAAGGAAATATGGAAAACTCGAGAGGTAAGAAAAAGAGAATAATGTAATAAACTAATTGATATAAAAAATTAAAAAAGACAAAAAAATTAAAAAGTGGGTAAAAGAAAAGTAAAAATGGTAAAATATAAAAAAATGACTTTAGCGAGAAAAACCCGAACCCGTCCCCGGTCAACTAAGTTTTTTTCCGTCAAACTCGGGGCGGGAACGAGTCAGTCCCCACCGAAACGAGTTTAATTGCCATCAAGGTTTGCAATTAATAAGGTAGGGAGATGAAACATTTATCATTCTATCTCTTTTATTATTTATTATGATGGTTGAGTGAGGTGAATGTAACCTTATTTTGCTTATTTTTTTATATTAATTTATCTTCAGTTAGGTACTGGTCATGTTTTATATGTATTTATTTATTTTCAATTATGCACTGATCCTATTTATTTTTATCTCCAAATATACTTGGTTCTATTTATTTTATCTTGAGTTAGTACTAGTCCTGTTTTATTTATCTTTAGTTATGCACTGGTCTTATTTATTTTATCTTCGATTACATACTCGTCTTGTTTTATGTCTATTTATTTATATCCAATTTTGCACTAATTCTATTTATTTTATCTCAAGTTATGGTCATATTTTATTTATCTTTAATTATGCACTTGGTCTTATTTATTTTATCTTCGATTACATATTGGTCATTATTTTATAATTTATATTTATATTATTTTTAAATAATAATATTTATTTATGAAGATTTGATGACATTATAGATAGAGGTTGAACTCGCGGATTGAAATGAGTAAATATAATTTAGAGAGTGATTAATTTTGGACTTATTTATCCCGATTAGTCGAGTACAAAAATCAATTCAAAGATTCAAAATATAAAATAAATGAATTATGTTGATGAAGTTGAAAAGTAAATTTTATATTTCATTTTGAGATTATATTATTTTACATGATAATTGTTCTCACTCCTTATTGTTATCTTTTGTGCATATTACAACTAAAATACCAATCTAAATAAATGGAGACATCAAGATGAAAGACAAGAATAATTGATAAATTAACCATTTTTAGAGGAAAAATGTTTATCAATTTTAATAGTTGTTTTCGATATAAAAATAATATAAATTTGTAAAATTCATATATTTAAACATATAAATGTATAAACATTTATCTCATATCTTGCTTTTATCAAAATTTAATAAAAATAGTTATATCTTAAAATATACTTCAATTAACAACGTACTAACCCTTTTTACCTTATAAGAAACTCTGCAATGGACTAAGAACAAGATTCATAAGTTGCATAAATATACTAGGTGCATTTTTGTAAGCCTAAAAAAGAATAACCGTCCACTCATATAATCCATATTTTGTTTAAAAAGTAATTTTTCATTCATCCAGCTCGTTTTGATATCTTGTTATATCCATTTTTTTAATCTATTTTTGAAAATATCTTTAAACCATGTAATTCATCAAGTATATAATCTAAACTAGGGAGGAGGATGTGTAAAAAAAAAAAAAACTAAGAAACTCAAATAGGTGTATTATTAGTCAAAGTAAACAATTTATTAAATAATTATTCTACGTTATTACATCAAAATATTTTTATATTTTTCTTTATTCAAAGAAACACCAATAAGACACATGAATGAGAAGAACCTAAAACAAAAACTTATAATAAAAGAACAAGTAACCTAGATTAGGAACCAATATAACAATCAATGATGAATTTTACCATTGATATTAAAAAGATCAAATAATATATTATTAATAAATAATAAATGAATGTGAAAAAGATAAAATAATATAAAAGGATACGAGATCAAATTTATAAATATGCAAATAGGTATATATAATAATTATTCAGATTAAAAATGTCAAAATTATAAATATTAATTTAAATCATAAAATTTTAAGAATAATCATTAAATTTGGACCTAAGATGGTAAATGTCAATCTAACTTGTAAGTTATAAAACTTCTTAGTAATCTCATAATCCTTATCTCTCAAATTTTTAGCATGCTATTAACAATACTTATAACCAAATTTAACAATAGATTATTTTGTCATTAGGGTTTAACATACGAGAATCTAACAAATATCTTTTAGATTAGTCGAATTAAAAGAAGATGGGAAGAATGTATAATATATGAATCATAGTACAAATTGTGGGTAGATATAGACTTTAAAATTTTCAGCATCCAAAGCATATGCTAATAACATATGTTTTGTATATTATTGTATTTGATTTGATATTTAAAATAAATCTTTTTAATTTAGTATTTTAAAATAAACTAATATAGTTAATAATTACATTAATTTTTATTGCTAATATAAATTTAAAATAATAAATAATTATTACTACTTATAAATTCCTTTAATATTAATTTTTACTAATAATCATTATTAGAAATAATAATAATTTTTAATCAAATAAGTTATAATAACATTTAACATTATTTTTTTATTCATTAGAAATATTTTTTACTAATAATAAATATTTAGAATAATTACACTAAATATATTCATTCATTATATAATTATATTTAGAATAATAAATATTTAGAATAATTACACTAACTATATTCATTCATTAGAATAAATATTTAGAATAATTACACTAAATATAATTATCAAAATTATTATTTTCATATTATTTATAAAATATACAAAAATAAACCATTAAAAAATATATTTCATTCACATTTTTTTTAATATTTTAAAGAAAACTACCACCCAAAATTCTAGACCACAATAAGGCTCAGAATTCGACCTCCTGAAAGTAAACCAATCTATTTGTATAAATATTTTGACAAAGGAAATATTTTTGGGATTAGGTTTATTGGAAAAAAAGTTCTATTTCTTCATGTCAACTCAAAATCACATAAAGCAAATATTTTTAAAATGATTATTATAAAAATTAAAATTTTTATTTATATGATAATTTACTATTAGATAACAATATAGAACTTTTCACCTTCCCAATATATTCTACTTAATTTTGTTTTTTTTTTTCATTATTCAAAGGTGATCTTGTAACTCTCTTTTATCATTATTAAAATCCCTAAACTAATCTCATTACTAAAGTTCTTTTTTTATTACCAAATTTGTAATGAATTTAAAATGTGTAAGGAAAGAAGTCTTATTCCGAATCACCTATCTCAGAACAAAAATATCATACTTCCAGAGTGCCTATTCGTTTTAAAATAATGATATGAACATATGAAAAATTAATATATTTCAAAATTTGTATTCCATAACGTTATTGCCAAAATATATTTTGGTGTTATTGGATCACAAATAGGCTTTGGTGAGTAACTTTGCCTTTAAACAATCTACTAGATTGATAATTTTGGTAAGACAAATTTAATTGGTAAATTAACAAAATTTAAAAAATATTTATATATTAAAATTAAAATCATTATAATTAAAATATTATATTGTTTTTAATCATTCAAATATACTAAAATATTATAATTTAAATTATTTATCATAATTTAGTATTTTAATATATATATATATATATATAATAATTTTTTAATTCATCTAATAAAAATTAATAAATAAAAATTTAAAAATAATTAATATAATTAAAAATATATTTAAAATATATATATATATATATATATATATATATATATATATAATATTGATCACCAATTTATCCTTTTAAAAAATTGAAATTTATAACAATATGACAGACAATCTACCCTTTTTTTTTTTTGAGACTAAAAATAAGATGAACCATTTTCACATCTTTAATTATTTTTTCAAGAGACCTATTCCGCGAATTAAATATCAGAAGTTTGGTGTGTCTATTTCGTAGTACCTTGAAAAGTAATTTGAGAAGAATTATTTGGGAATAACTTACCTATAAGTTTTCTTTTAGGACACTTCCTCCATAATTAAAATATCATATTTTTAGAACATATGATTCGAAACAAATAATGCAGATTATTTTGAAAGACATGCAAATTTTAAATAAAATAATTTATATATTGATTTTTATAAGATGCTGGAAGAAAGCCTCTAATTAAATTCACAGGATTCCAAAGCCCTCATGGTAAAAATAACATAATACTTCTTAGGAGTGAAAAAGAAAACTTTAATTAAAACATCACATTATTTTCAAAATCTTATATGAAAAATAACTACTTATTATTTTCTGTTTTCACTATTTCCTAATACAAACTTTTGACAAAAAAAAAAAAAACACTAAAATCTGAGCTAGTGTAAATGTTTTTTTAGTCAATCAATAAAATAACATAACAAATATTTTCACTAGAAATTGATCGTTTTCATTCAAATACAGACAGAACTATGTCTACAAAAGCTCTGTTGAAGGCTCACTTTCTCGTACTATATATTGGATCTTGCAATCCAAAGGCAAGACAAACCAAATCTATAGAGATTTTCCACCATATTCAATTTCAGCAGGTCAATCAACAACCTCATAACCAGGCACAGGTTTTTGTCTATGACTAAATACTAGGATACACAGAACATAATTTCATCATTCAAACAAAAATAACGCAAGTAAATTGTGAAAAAAATAGAAACTCCGCCACTTCAAATTATTTCAGGATTATATTTCTTTCCGAATAACAAGATTGCAAATTCACGGCCATAGTAATGAAGAACAAATAAGTCTACCTGCCATGTTTGTGCAAAATTGAGGCCAATATCCAAAGTCTAGAATTTAAAGTATTCATCACTTCAATCCTTCGCTAAGACCTGGTGGCATTCCTAAGCTCTGTGCAAGATCATTCATCCTTTCCTTCATGGCCTACAAAGATAAGTAATAATATCCTCTTCAATTCAACAACCACAAATGCCAATAAATATATGTTCCTCCTCTTAAAAATAAGGATTTTTACCAGGACACTCTTCTGGTGTGCATCCTTGTATGCCTCAGTGATTAATAGAGAAAGCTTCTGCAACTCACAGATGTTTGATAATAAATAACAGTTTTATTATTGGCATGAAAGACAACAGTTTGATTTATTAGGGTCCTATTTGAAAAATTTCTGCACAAATACATAGGAGAGAAAAATATAAAGATAAGATGAATTAAACTTCTTCCTTTAAGTTAAAACCAACTAATGCACTTCAACTTCTATAGAAACTATTTCATTTAACATTTCCAAAAGTTGATTTTAATTTATAAAGACAAGTTCAATGCCTTTTCTTTTATATAAATGTTTATGGAAAAGTTTATTCAAACAAGGTATAGATTTATCATTATGATGTGACCTTGACTCATTTGTATAAGATAAGGGAAAATGGGACGGGTAAAATTTTGTGATTTTAGTTAATAGTTCCAAACCAAAACATTGTTCTTGACAACTGACATGAAATGAAGAAAATTATAATAATGAAAAGATATAGTATTTAATCCATTATCCTCAAATGGTTTTTGTTATCTTTGAATGTGACATTTTAAAGTATGACCAGACGAGTTTGCGTCATTGAAATGGCAGAAAACAGAATATATAAACACAGCATCACTTGAATTGTTTACTTACTTCAGGTCCCAATTCCATAGCTGCTTCAGTAATTTCAGTTCTTACAGGTTGCTGGTTCCCCGACAGCGTTACCTAAAATTATACTTCATAAAAAATAAGTAACCAAAGAAAATAATACTTACAAATTAATATATGAATATAGATAATGTAATGCAAGAATCAGGATCACGAATAAAGATAGAAAATCATATCAGTTACAAAAAATTACATTTGGCACATATAATCAATGATATTGTTCCATGAAAAACCTCACGTAATGTATAGTTATAGACATAGAGTATATAAAATACTATCACAATTATATAAATAAAATTCCTCATTTTAACTTTTAAAAGGAAAAACTAAAAATTGAACATTGTATTGTTTGTTCTCGACACTCAGCGACCTAATGGTGGCGGTGGTCAACTCCACATTTCTGTCAAAGGCATGATAATGAAAAATTAGGAAGCGCTTCCAAAAGACCGATCTGCTGTAGCAAAATGAAGCATGAATAGAGTATAAAGCGCTTCCAAGATGCCTTGGTTATCAAACTACTGGGTAATAGAGATGATACGCAGGCCAGCCCACACTTGCATTGAAAATAGTTCATCCATATAGTCCGCATCTTAATCAGATCTGAATTTTTGCAGATTGCACCAGTCCCGCAAAAACCCATGCAAACCGCAAAAAAGAACAGAAGTTTTTTTTTTCTCAATTGATATATAGTGTCCATAAGTATTTAGTGTCCAAAACTCATGTTTAAATCCAACCATCAAATAGAAAATAAAAAAGTTTAAATCTAAATAAAAAGTGTACTGAACAATAAACTACTTAACAATATACAAATCAATATCAATCCTTTTCATTAAATAATGTTTCATATCATACTCGAATCTTCGAAATTTTCAATCTTTGAAGATTTGATAACTCTATTTACAATGCATTATAAATAGTATATAAATAAGAGATTTTTAATATCAAATGTTTTAGTTTAAACTTCAAAGACAATTTTTATGTTATTGGATTTGGGTTGCAAGTGTGGGTAATTCGTAATCTTCGACGGCTAAATTACACATATTGGACTAAAACGCCCACAATAAAATGTCCAAAATCGAATACTTGTACCCAGATGGATCGTGGTGTCCAAAATCATACACGAGAAATTAACAAGATTGTGAAAGTTAGGCTTTGAAATTCTAGATATTGGCACTGACTACTTCATGATGAAATAATGAAATTGGAGGAAGGCTATGAAAGTGGCCCTGTGGATGATCTTCAAACTACTATTTAATGTTGATATGCTTACCAAAGGAGCCAAAAAAATCTTCAAGCATTTATTTTGATGCAATGACAGATGCATTCCCCATAGTCTCAAGTTGGCGACAATTCCACGAATTGATTGCCTAGTTCTAATGGGTTTCAACCCGTTTTCTTCCAAACATATTGATCAACCATTGGTAATGAGATTAGGAGATTTGTAGCTTACAAGTTTTCCACTGGTTCAATTGATCCTTGGCTTACTAAAACCCTTATTGATACCATTCCAAAAGTTGACCAGCCTGCTTCATTGCAGGAGTTTAGGCCAATTAGCCTTTTCAATGTGCTTTTCTAGACAACATCTAAGGTGCTTGTTGATAGAAGTCATCTTCATCTTGATGATTTAGTGGGATCCCTTTGAAGTCGTTTTATTCCCAATCTTGGTATATCTGACAATGGGCATAAGAAGAAATGGGCATAAAGGTTATCTCCTTTTCAAAATTAATTTTGAAAAGACATGATTGGGTTGGTTGTAATTGTTTAGGACTAGTTCTTCACGATTTTCAATTATCCTAATGTTATTAGGGATTTGATTACAAATTGTATAACTGCCACAACCTTTTCTTTGAAACGGAATAAGGTTCAAGACTCAGCTCGGAGAGGCTTACACTAAGGTTTTTGTTACCCTATTTGTTTCTTTTGTGCAAGGAAAAGTTTGCTCTTCTCTTTGAAGAGCAAGTTCAAAGATCAATTGTGCCAGTGTTTGATCTCAAATGGTGGTCCTGCAATTTCCCATTATTCTTTGCCGTTGATTGCCTCCTTTTCACAAATTAACTTGCTTCTTCCTCTCAAGTTAAATGGGTGGAGAAGGTACTCCGTCCTTGTTTTCTTGCATCTGATTTAGAAGTTGATGTTGAAGTCCTGTTTCTTTGCTTCTAGAAATATTCCTTGAAGGAAATTGAAGAAATTTTCTTCTATTATAGAATTTCATCTAAATGAGCAAGTGGAGAATACTGATTTATCCTTTATTATAGACGGAATTAATGGGTGAATTACTGACTGGAAGACCAAATTGCTCATTAGGTTGCTACGTAAGTGATTTCATCTATTTCGGCACTTGTACCATCAAGACCAGGATTTAAAATAAGAACTGGTCAAGGTGTAGTCTCCCTTTGGTGGATTTTGTGCATATTAGTGACATGCTACTCAATATCAATGATGTCTTTGTTAATGAAAATTGGCAATTGAATTCCATAGTTACCTGTTATCCCTCGTGCCATCAATGTGGAAAAAGAAGAGTATTTTCATTGATACTTGCTCTCCGAATAGAATTATAACACGAAAACAGCCTAGTAGTGGTTCATCTGTGAATCACCCAATCTGATTACCTGCTGAAAGATGGTCCTGGATTTGGTCTCTACAGTTACCCAAAAATATCAAACACTTTTTATGGCTAACACACCATGGTAGCCTTCCAGCTAATCTCTTTCACTTTAGGAAACATGTTTTCTCTTGATTTTTCATGCAACAGGCGAGGTGCAGAGAATGTTGGATTCATGTGCTTCGTGATTGTTCCAATTCCAGAAAATTTGGAACTTTCTGCAGCTTGAAGATTCTCATCAGCTCTACACTCATGGATGGTGCATCTTTATGGCACTAGCATGTAAGAGGGTGCCATCCTCTATTGTTTGGAGTTGCATGCTGGACTAAATTGAAGCATGTAATGCCTCAATCTTCAAAGGTAGAGTCTGGACAGTTTGGTACAAACTTAACCAAATCAATGTTGTCTTCCAGATTATGGTCTGAAGACAAGACCAAATTATGCTGGATGCCTTAAGCAGCGCAGGTCTGAAGAGGATCAATTTTTGAAGCTCAGCACTGATGCCTTAAGCAACCTAGGTCTCTCGGGCTATGGCGGCATAAACAGAAATTCTCATGGACAGTAGGTCGCTGGGTACTCCAGGTTGTGTAGCTTACTACAACAAACATAAATGTAGACTTCCTGGTAATTTATCATGGCTTAAAACTAGCATAGGATTGCAGGTCATAGGAAGCTGATTCTCTAACAGATTTGTTAATTGCTCTGTATCTGATTTGGCAGGGTACACCTCCACATCACCCATATGTTCTTCATTCCTGGCAATTTTGCTTTCAGCATATCTTAGAGGAAAGCATGGGATTCTTCCTCATCCCTGGCAACTCCACATCACCCATACAACTAGTGGAGATGGCATTGCAAAAATAAATGCTTCATCTCAGCAGCAAGTCATCATACAGGATTCTTACCCATCTTTTCTATAGTGCAGCTATGTTAGTTGATGCCATTGGCACTTTTTTGTTAGATTCAACTTTGTAAAGCTTTCCAACAATTAAATAAAATAAAGGAAAAACTAAAGGGGAACTCAAGGAGTTTCTGCTGGGGAAAACATAAAAGGTTACAAACTTATAGAGAGAGACAGATAGACAAACACAAAGAGGGGGAAAGGGAGGAGGGAGAACAAAATCCATACCTTTACTAATTCACCCTCACAATAACCATCAAACTCTGCTCTGCATATAGAACAAATGCTTGTTTAATATACGAAAACAAACAAAGCTCAAATTGTATTTAAGAGAGCCATACGCTGCAAGTTCTTTCTGCACCCGCACTGCTTCAACTTGGACAACCATTTGTGCCTTCTTTACAGTCTCGTATAGATTTTGCATGTTTCCAAGAATTCCTGCCTAAATTGATTCCACAATAAAATGTAATTAGTCAATTATAAATATCCGAGAATAATTTTCTAAAACTCTAAGAAACAAACATAGGAATATTACATTCCCGTAATCACATTCCCAAGAATAAACTTAAAATTAGTGAAGCAAACAATCTCTAAGCAGCATATCAGATTGCAGAGAATCCATCACTGCAAAGAAAGAAGCCACAGTGGAAAAACTCCAGTGAGCAGAATTAGCACGTTGTGGCTAATGACAGTTGATTGATTTGGAGCTAAATTATGCCATGCTAATACCAATTCAAAGCACCATTTGGCCAATGAAGAGGGAGCATGATACTAAGGATTGAATTTGTTATAGCATGTTAGCACTGTCTAACCAATGTAAAAATAGACACATTGTATTGAACTCCGGCCACCACAACCACGATCACCATGAGTACCACAACCACTAGAGCCTTTGAAATCAGATATAAATTGGAATTCATATGGTTTGAATTTTGCAAAATTAGTACTAACATGATTATCCCTTTCTTAGTATTATGAAGTATAAATTGTTGTTATTGTGAGTTGTGACTGATTTACTGCTTACCACAGTTAATTTAGTGTATGCGACAAGTCAATTCCATGTTGATGGTTGAAAAGTTATAATAGTTTATGATTTTATGTTTTCAAAACTATTTTCAGCATAAGGGAAATGTATCTATTTGAAAACTTGCAACAACTTATTTTATCTTTGGTCTTCAAACCTTGAAAACTCTAGATTGCATCTAGTGAAACACCATTTTACTTGGACTATATTACTGAGAATTGTGAAATTCTCACCCTATTTCTATTTCCATCTACCATGGTGTTCTAGGTACATGGACGGCATTCTCTCCATGGTTTTGAGATCTTATGGGACAATCAGCACTCATCATGATCCATAAGATGGAATGACCAAGATTGCCAAGAATGGGAAATCTAATCTTGCAAGTACCCTATTCCCCTCCTCCTTTACCCTTATTTCATATTATCATCCTCCTAATTGAGAAATTATGTATGCTTTTAATCATTTTGGATAATTGAGTATATTGTGGGATGATGTAGTGTTTAATATAACCAATGCACTTAGTATCCAATACATTTAAAAATATAAAGCATGAATGTTAACCAAGATAGACAGTTGTTTAGAGGCTTCTATAGTTGCTTCTAGGTACAGCAGAAGTGTCTCTTATACTTGGATTTTATCTTATAAAAGGTTTGTGTAGGGAGTTACCTAGAAAAGGTATTTCTATTTTTTAGAAATATTACCCCTCGTTATTGATGTGTCAAAGACGTAGACACAGCATCAAAATGGTGTGATTGTAATGATAACAATGTTTAGTTCAAATACATAATTCAAATAGCATAATTATTTTCGATAACCATTATCTTGCATGTGAATAAAATAAGTAATCCATGGAGAAACATGGATGCAAAAGAAAATATGTTATCCCGTAACTATAAACATGACATTGACTGCACAAGAACGCTAACCTTAGAAGGAGTATCATCACTTTTTCCATTATTGTCTTTCTTCCCTCCAAATAAGGCATATAATCGGAAACATCTTCGGCCATGTCCAACTTTCTGACAACCACACCGAGATAATATTTTCATGTCAACTATATTTGAGCTGGAGCTTAGTTTACCTGTTTAACAACAGTCAACTATGAGTAACTTTTGTATAACAATTCAATCTTGTGAATCAAAAGCAAAATGGATTCACCTTACATGACCCAATTCTCACTCTTGATGTTCATATTCATCGCTATATTATAAAACTAAGCAAATTCTCAATCAAGAAGGTCATTTTTTCAATGAACTCGTAACTGCATTCTCATTTAAAAGACAACTCTGAATGAAAACCTCACCACATTCTCAACTACTCATCAAAATAAACCTACAATTCATTTTCATTATTTCAGGATAGTTTCGCTGTTAACAAAATGAAACAAAAAGAGGGACTTAAACACGGAAGACACTGTACTGTCCCACTGTCCATCACACCCACAACAATACAGACAAGACTCCCTCCCCCACAAAAATCAACAAACAGATAAACCTAAATGAAGCATAAAATAAGCAAACAACAATTTCAACAAACTAATTGAAACCCCAAAACCCATGCATGAAAAAACAAGAGACTGGCAGACAAGGCAACGAGTTCCAATCTTAACGAATTTCAAGAGGACCCAAATGAAATAAATGGAGAGAAACACTCACGGAAAGAAGTTGACAAAGGGGCATGGTTTCTCCAGTCACCAAGTCCGACCGCGTTTGACAAAGGACCAGTTAGAGAAGGCGTGGTTGCCATTGACATCCAGAGAAGGAAACAAGAGGTTGGTGTTCGGAAGGATGAGAGTGAGATGAAAGCGGTGGTTTTGGATAAAATTGAAACAAGAGGTTGGAGTTTGGGTTTCGAAGGTTCGGCGGTGATTATGATTTTGGGACAAGTTTTAATTTGTTCCACATTTGCAATGTCAGCAATGCACAGGCATTCAAATTGAACTACTACAGTTGCGGTCCTATGTATCCACCTTTTTTTTTTTTTTTATAATATATTGCTTTTAATTTTATTTTATTATTTTACAATTTTCATTTTCTAAAACATACTTTCCAAGTCTTCTTGTGTTTTTCAACCTTCCATTTTTTAAAAATCATTTATTATTGTTTTAAACATGATATTCTTGCATTCATTTGTTTCTAAATATTAATTTTCTTTGTAAGTTATCATTTTCTTAATCTCATTTTCATTTCTTGTCCTATTATTTCCATCCCGTTTCTCCTCTGTTTCTTAACTCCCAAACCATGTTATTTATTTTTATTTTTAGTATTTGCTCAATTTTATTTTAACATGTATTCCATTTGAACTGCAAAATATACGGACATGGTGCAATAGGTGTTAACAGAGGAAATAGGTGAATAGATTTTATTTTATTTTATTTTTTTCAAATTCCCTATACTTAATGAAAATTTGCATATGCTCACTTAAATTTATATGTAATACACAGTTATTATTTAATCCCATTTCATAGTTTTAAGCATTAGATTCTCGCATTTATATTTATAATTATTATTTTTATTGTTTATATTTATATTTATATTTAAAACTTTTAACTATTTTTTTTTATATCTATAAACAAGAATTTAATTTATAAATAATTATGACCTCTCACAAACGTTCATATAAATAAGTTAATTAATTACTTTCTCAGATTTATATTTTTTTATATTTTACAAAATATTTATTTTTTAAATTAATTTTATTATTTTAAAATAAGAAGAAGAGTATTGATGTATGTCATTTTATTTTTTATTTTTTGATCTAAGAGCATTTTTTAAGCTAGTTATTTTATTCATAAATCATACATTTACATATGTTTTCATTAAAAACATAGCATAATTTAATTTTTCTTAATTTGTTGCATTTTACATAATTTTAGCATAATAAATAATATATATGTATACATCTACAATACATATTTCTTTTTTTTCTTTTGTAGGAGAAGTAATTTGAGATAAACCAAATTGATATAAAGAAATGTTCAAATTGATGTCGTCAAACTTTACTCTTCTTAAAAGTCCAAGGTTGTTTTTGCAGCTCACTTGTAGAATGTTACAAATGGAAATTTTGAATCAAGCAAATTAACTGGTGTGGAAATCCAATTTAGCTGAGTAAAGGCCAGCAAGAATCAAGAATTAAATGCAAATTAGTGTTAGGTCACTCAAAATAGGAAAAAAGTAGACTATTTTCTCCAAAACAGTCCCAAGAATTTCTCTTCACAGCAATTAGATTTTGCAATTATTTATTTGAGTAATATTTGATTTTTACTGTAATTAATTTTAGCCTTAATTTCTCTTGTTCAAATCCCTATAAATAAAGGTCTTACGACAAACCACCATCATAATCTCTTGGCCTGGGGTGAGAATTGTTGTTTTATCTCGTCCCCAGTTTCTTTTCCTACTCTCAGTTCGTAGTTTAATTTTTAGTTAGGCGAGTCCATCTACTGCTATTGCACTTCTGGTTTGTTCTCTTTTATTTAATTTTACAATTTCTATTGAATTTTCCAGTTTATCTTGTTTTAGTTATTTTATTTATTCAGTGCCTATTTTAATTTATGCTATTTAATTGTTTAGAATTTTTATTCTAGTATTGTATTTTCATTTTCAATTCTCGTTTTCAATTCCAATTCGCAATTTAGTTTTAGAGTTATTATTTTCAAAAATTTCAAATTTAATTACTTCACTATTTTATTTCAAAACAATTTTTTTATTCTTCCACCTTTAATTAAAAACACTTTATTTTAATTCTATAAATTTCAGTTATTTAAATTTTGTTTCTGTTTAATTTTAATTGTCGTTAATATTCTATAGCAATTTGATTTTAATTTTTATTATTTTGCATAAAATTATTTCTTTTGCACTTTTTCATTCATCCCCACTATTTTAGAGAGAATGATATGTGATAATGAATATGTTCTTATAATTGTGTCCTTGTGAAATTCGACACGGGTTAGCTATATTGCATTTGTTTATTATTTTTTATTAATATTTTGTGCGACCAAAATGTCGTTATCAAATGGCGTCGTCACGAGGATACAATTATGTTGCGTAACATGACCTAATATCAATTTTTTCTAATTTTCTTTTTCTAGCTTTAGTTAAAAAAAATTCAAAAAAAAAAACTCTTTTGAAATAAATTATTTTTTTTCTAATTTTATATTTTAGCTTTATTTAAAAAAATTCAAAATTTAATTCTTTTTTCTTCTAATTTGTTTTTCTAGCTTTATTTTATAAAAAAAGTAATTATAATTTTTTTTTGTGTGCTCCCTAACCACTTTTGTAGGAAATTCTAGATATAGTTCTCTTGTAGGAAGTGCTCGATAACCAATATTATAGGAAATTCTAGATATAACTTGGTAGTGTGAGAGTACATGTCTAGAAGAGTCCTGACTAGGAAAGACTTGGTACTTAAACGTGTCCATTAGTGACTCACCTCTCTTTCTTGGGAACTTACCTGGTGTACTTGTTCACGATTTACTATTTATATTCTGATAGGACCTTTAATAGTGTATAACTCGAGCAAAGAAAGGTGAACCACATATATTCGATCCTGAAATCAAAGTTACCTTCAAGAGATTGAGGAGATTAAAGAGGTGGAGGGGACTACAAGAGAGAAAGAGAGAAGCAACTCAAAAGTCTAATCAAACATCTCAAATGGTTGTTAATCGAGAAAGAACCTTGAAAGAGCTTGCCGCACAAGATATATTTCACCAACTAATCTATATTCAACTTCCTAGACTACAAGAAGGAGATGCTGGATTTGAACTAAAGTCTGGTCTAATACAACTCCTACCCAAATTCCACGGACTACCAGGCGAAGATCCCAACAAGCATTTAAGGGATTTCCATGTAGTATGCTCCACAATGAAGCCAGTGGATGTTGCAGAATACTATGTCAAGCTGAAGGCCTTTCCATTCTCATTGTGTGACATAACAAAAGATTGGTTGTATCTTCAATTGACACCAATCACGAATTGGACAAACTTGAAGAGGAGATTCTTGGAGAAATTCTTTCCAGCTTCAAGGATCGCTGCCATTAGAAAAGAAATTAGTGGGATTCGACAACTACAAGAGCAGTCTCTTTATGAATATTGGGACAGATTCACTAGAATATGTACTACTTGCCCAAACCATCAGATAAATGAGTAGTTATTGATCCAGTACTTCTATGAAGGATTGATGCCTATGGAAAGAAACATGATTGATGCAGCAAGTGGAGGCACATTAATGGATAAGACAACTAAAGCCGCATGGGTCTTGATTTCAAACATGGAAGAAAATTCTAAACAATTAAGTGCTTGAACGTCTGTTAAACCGGTCCATATAGTACAACAAAGCCCAGCAACAGACATCAATAATCAGAGGTTGGAAAACCAAATATCCGAGTTGACATCTTTAGTTCGACAGATGGTCGTGAACCAACACACATATCAAAAACAATATTTATGTGGGATATGCACCTATGTATATCACCCCACTGATGCATGTCTTGAACTTCAGGAGACACCTAGGGAAACAGTGGCTGACATATTTCCTGAACAATAGCAGTACAAACAACTAAATTCGTACAGGCCACATCAGGAGTACAACCCACACTCGACCACGTATAATCCTGGTTGGAGAGATCACCCCAACTTGAAATATGGCCCTAGCTACAACCAGCCGCCAATTAAACAACCAAGGCCACTAACAACAGAAGTATCAACCTCCCCCTATGAGGTAGCAGGCGAATCAACATCTTGTGCCATTACAACCAAGCCAAAGTAGTACTATGCAACATGGTAACTTTAGGCCTACACTAGAAGATATGATGAAGCAACTGACACAACAGATGATAACACATAATACACGAAGCACACAATTAGAGCAACGCTTTAATGACTTGCAAACCCAAATTGGACAAATGGCCACTACCATGAATTCACTACAGTAGCAAGGTGCGAATGCACTTCCCTCACAAACAGTGATTAATCCGAGGGAGAATGTAAGCACAATCATATTGAGAAGTGGTCGAGAAGTTCAAACAGAACAGAAGAAACCTCGAATAGCAGAAAAGTCAAGCTCCATTGATCCATGAAAGAGAAGATAGAACCCACAAACAATAAGCTAAGCACTCAAATGTCGAAAAAGTTGGATACCTCACCTACTACAACTCGGGAAGTAATTGTACCATTTCCCTCTAAAGTACCACCCTCTTCCAAGAAACTGGAAGCAAATCAGGAGTTGCTCGATACATTTAAAAAGGTAGAAATCAACATATCACTGTTAGATGACATCAAGCAGATTCCTAGGTATGCTAAGTTTTTAAAGGATCTTTGCACGTATAAAAGGGGCCTAAGGAAGAAGTAACCATTGGTCATCTCATCACTATCTAGAGTTATTCTTACACAAAAATGTGAAGACCTAGGGACCTTTACTATTCCCTGCACTATTGGAGAGCTCCACATAGCCAATGCTTTACTAGATCTGGGAGCATCAATCAATGTAATGCATTTATCCATCTATAAGACATTACACTTGGGTGAACTAAACCCCACCAACGTGACTATCCAATTAGCTAACCGAAGCATGGCCAAGCCGTTAGGGGTATTGAAGGACGTATTGGTTAAAGTGAATCAGTCAATCTTTCCAGCAGACTTTTACATCATGGACATGCACGACGCAGACCGTTCGCACAAACCAACATTAATTCTAGGAAGACCATTTTTAATGACTACCAGAACGAAGATAGATGTGCATACTGGCACGATGACACTA